CATTTACACAGTTTCAGAGAAGTTAGGCAGCTTTTTGTTTTTCTCTCAAATGTTTAAATAMAAACACAGAACATTGTGTTGATATACAGCTTTCTAAACCTTATACAAAAMATTGTCATACTTATTTACTTTATTATTTACACTATTCTGTAAAGTTAAATCTGTAATCCCAGCTCAACCGCACATAAACATAAAAAAGCAACTTTTGGTTCAAGTCCTAAAAATAAAGTACAATAACAGTATTCAACAAATTAACTTATATTTAATACTGTACACATTTGACTACATTCAATTTTCAGCAAAAAGTGTAAGTAAATCTCTACTAAATTTACATARCAAGAAAATGCAGGAAGATACATGAGACAGTTCATATTAAAGCTGTCTGTCCTTACTATGCATGCTGCTAAGACATTTACTTCTGTGTAAGCACTAAAGACACACTAAAAGTAAATGCCTTCAAGACACAGACGTGTTTTGTAAATATACTAACAGAAACGTAAGAAAAACAAAGCCACAATCCATCACACCAACAGGTTTGACTGCTTGTCACGTGTGACTTCTGTTAAACATTTTTAATTTTGCTAAGGGCCAACCAGAGAGAAATTCGACTAAAGGGGTGTGGTGGCTAAGTTACTGGAGGCAGCCATAATGTGAGATTGAACTAACAATAGTGTAGGTCAACACTAAAGTAAACACAAGTCATACTCAGCTCTGTATCTAACCTTCCATTCATCCATTTTATTTACACTTTTTTTCCTTTCCAAACATCCCTTTTACTTACTTGTCGTGCATTCTTGATGAGTCTCCTGGCCTGCTGTTTAATGCTTGGCATGTCTGGTTCAGAGGGTTGGACCAGAGTGGTAACCTCTGTGGGCCCAACGAAGCTGTGCTGTGACAGCGGCCATCCCAGATCCAGTCCTGGCGCAGCCAGGTCTGATTGCATCGGCCAGTAGGTGTCTGAGGAGCCCTCAGTCTCTTGACCTCCCTCATAATACGTCAACTCTGGGACTCCCGAAGTTTGATTTGGTATCTGAATTGTGGACTTGATATGTTCGATTTCAGTACTGGCCAGGAAATTTACAATATTAGCCTTCTGGAGGAATTCATAATAACCCTGAAACAACACAAGACACACAAATTCAGTATTTCAAAATGAGAAAGTCTACTCTGATATAATTACAGATAATAATAACTAATAACAGTTATTTAGAATAATAAATACCTCAATGTCCTTCTCTATCAGATCATCAATAGCTAAGCGATACTCTTCACGGTAGTGTGGGGGCAGGTAGTTTGGGTCGAGAGGATTTTCTCCAACTGATGAGCTTTGTGACCGGTGCGCCATTGTTAAGGTTGGTTGTGAACAAAGTCAAGGGTCAGAGTTTGATGGAATTTGAGCCTCTGCATGAAAGTAAAAAAGAGACACAGTTACAGCGGGTAAAATAAGTATTGAACACGTCACTATTTTTCTCAGTAAATGTATTACTAGAGGTGCTAATGACATGAAATTTTCACCAGATGTCGGCAACAACCCAAGTGATCCATACATACAAAGAAATCAAAACATAAATGTCCAGAAATGAAGTTATTTGTAATAATGTGGAATGACACAGGGAAAAGAATTTAACACATGAAGAAAGGGAGGTGTAAAAAGGCATGGAAAGCCAAGACACCAGCTGAACTCTCTCAGTAATTWGAAAGCAAGCCTGCCCCTTGTCAGTGCAAATTAATATCAGCTGGTTCAGTCCCAAATGATGGCCAGGTATCACACAAGAACCATCTGATGATGGGTAAAAGTAAAGAGTTCTCTCAAGACCTTCACAACCTTATTGTTGCAAAGCATAATGATGGCATCGGTTACAGAAGAATGTCTAAACTTCTGAATGTTCCAGTGAGCACTGTTGGGGCCATAATTCAGAAGTGGAAAGAACATTATTTCACCATAAACCGAACACGACCAGGTGCTCCTCACAAGATTTCTGACAGAGGAGTGAAAAGAATTATCAGAAGAGTTGTCCAAGAGCCAAGGACCACTTGTGGAGAGCTTCAGAAAGACCTGGAATTAGCAGGTACGATTGTTTCAAAGAAAACAATAAGTAATGCACTGAACCACCATGGCCTGTATGCACGCTCACCACGCAAGACTCCACTGCTGAAGAAACAGCATGTTGAAGCTCCTTTAAAGTTTGCTGCACAACATTTAAACAAGCCTGTGTAATACTGGGAGAATATAGTCTGGTCAGATGAGACCAACATTGAACTGTTTGGATGCCAGAATACACATCATGTTTGGAGGTCAAATGGCACTGCACATCAGGCCAAAAACACCATACCAACAGTGAAGTTTGGAGGTGGGAACATCATTGCGTGGGGCTGATTTTCAGCATATGGTAGTGGCAAACTTCAAATAATTGAAGGAAGGATGAATGGAAAAATGTACAGAGACATTCTTGATAAAAATCTGCTTCCATCTACCAGGATGATGAAGATGAAACATGGCTGGACATTTCAGCAAGACAATAAGCCCAAACACAAAGCCAAGGAAACTCTCAATTGGTTTCAGAGAAAGAAAATAAAGCTGCTGGAATGGCCCAGCCAATCACCTGACCTGAATCCAATAGAAAATCTATGGAAAGAACTAAAGATCAGAGTTCATWGAAGAGGTCCACGAAACCTTCAAGATTTGAAGACTGTTTGTGGAAGAATGGGCCAAAATCACGCCTGAGCAATGCATGCCACTAGTTTCTCCATACAGGAGGCGTCTTGAAGCTGTCATTGACAACAAAGGCTTTTGTACAAAGTATTGGATAAATTTCAGTAAGTGTGTTCAATACTTTTTCCCTGTGTCATTCCACATTATTACAAATAACTTCATTTCTGGACATTTATGGTTTGATTTCTTTGTATRTATGGATCACTTGGGTTGTTACCGACATCTGGTGAAAATTTCATGTCATTAGCACCTCTAGTAATATATTTACTGAGAAAAATGGTGACGTGTTCAATACTTATTTTTACCCGCTATAACTTAGTTACAACTTGCGTCTTGAGATCAAAAGAGCAAGTAAAAGCATCAACGCACACAACAGCAAGACTTTTCCTGTGTTCAAATCACCTCGCTTTTGTAGTTGGACTTAACCTTAATAACACAACACGCCCCTAATAATAACAAACAATACTTYAATTAAATATTTCTTTTGGTTTGWGAAAGAAAGAAGCCTTTGTGTTATACACACTCATACTTTCTACCTGTAACCATTGAAACAAAGCATCTGTTGTTGGAGAGTCAAAGCCAGAGCTGTAAATTTAACTGCTACTGAGTTCAGATTATCTCAGCAAGCACCGCAGTTGTGAAAAATACTAAAACATTTTATTTTATGCCGAGCAGAGACATGCAGATTTATGCAAACATTTCACTTCAATTTAATATATCAGCCAAGAATGTTGTGTTTGGTCAAAGCGGAAATGAGATCAGATCTTAGCAATGCTTTGATCAAATTTAGATTTAGTACATGACTCAGAGCCCTTTTGAGCCATTTTTTTCTAGATATCTCATTACAGTAAACAACCCAGCTTTTTGCCTAACATCTACTGTACATACTGTATAATCTTTGAAAACATGTATGTCATCTTGGTAACATCTAGTTTTTGTAAGTCTTGTGATTAATTYTGCACCCAGTTTATTAATACAAAAATGACTGATGCTATAAATGGAACACCAATGTTTTATTCAGTAATTAACTGTAGGTTATCGATGCTAACGATTAACTTGAGTTGGTTATGGTTTGTAAGGAAATGCTGGACAGTTTGTAAAACAAACAATAAAGGCAGGATGAAGAAAATACAATGGAAGGAAGGCAGACAAACAGTCACACGGGAGAAAAGTGGATGAGTAAGGCAGAGTTGGTAAAGGCAGGAGGAGGTGTTGTATAGACAGGTTCTGTCATATTTCAGCTCAAGGAACTTGTTGTGCCGGTGCGTCATACTTCATGTCGGTGCTCAGAACTTGTCGAGAAAAGTCTGTCAGCCATGGCCAACAGGATAATTGTGAGGGCTCAATGAGTTAGCTGACAGCTGTTACAAGACATTTAATTTACTTAAAATTTAACGATCACTGTGACATAACTTTGTGAGAATGGTTGGCCGTTTGAATTAGAAGGCATTTGTTAGTAGAACGAGTAGYTGTTTATTTTTATTCACGTTCGACTCTACTTTAATACCTAATATAAATGACCAGATGSCTTAGATGCAACACTAAAGATTTTGTTTGGCACTGGATTAAAGGAGACACACCTGAGAAACATTTTGGGACGTTCCTTCACTGATAGTTAATAGATTGTGTTACCTGCAGCATGGATGGAATGTCCGACTGCAGCAATTTTGTAGCTAAAATAAATCTCAGGAAATCTTTGTGCATTTCATAGCAGGAGGTGACTCCAATCGTGGGAACAAAACGACTGACAGCGTGATTATTTGGTCAGTATGTGTGGCCTGGGTCCTGCTGTAAAGGTGTGTACGATGTGTACAAGAGCAGCTAAGAGACTAATGGTGGTGATAGCAAAGGGTAAAAGTCCTAACCCATAATCAGTGGGAGAACTCGCTTTACTCAGCGAACTGGTGAGTCATCGAGTAGCCTGGTGTGGCGTGGCTAGGGGATAAACTTTCAACTGACTGACTGCTGTGGGGTGATTCATATGTGCACAAAATGGCTGACATCCTGTTTTAACACTTATTTTGCACCATAAAAATAATGCATTTGTTTATGCAGTTTTTTTTTGTCAGATAACTACAGCTCATTCCCAAAGTGGAAGACATTAAATTAATTTAATTTATTTTGTTCTGTGTTTATCAGCTAAAATAGATGGCTCATTTTTTCAGTGTTAAGTATGGATCTGTGGAAAGGTTATGAACTAACTGAATCTTATCTGTTGTAGATAGGTCTTTGAACAGACTCARTTTGAAGAAAAGTTTTAAATCTAACCAGACTGATAAAGAAGTACAAACAGAACTGAGACCAAAGTGTGTTGCTGCTGTCTTAAAACAACTCTAAATGCAAACACTTCAAAGCAGTTCAAAACAACATTTTATAGACCTTTACATTGCTGTCAATGTTGCATTACATGGTTATTTGCAGAAATATTATAATTATTTTTACAGGATTAACTGTGTAAATTGACATCTATATAAAGGTTTATAAAAGATGTTTGCACGACTGACAATGAAATATTTTAGACTGGAGCTTTTTCAGTCTGGTCTTCAACTRTTGTTTTCTTACTGAGGCCATTCAAAGAGCTACCTACAACAGGTAAGAYATTATTGCTCATAACCTTTCCAAAGAACCACGTTTTAAAGATGAAACAAGCTCACAGCCACAAACTGACATGTGCTCAAACAACAATAAATCCAATTGTTATTGCCATTTTAACAAAGAAAAAAATGTGATTCCTGTTGCCTTCTGTAGGTATTTATTTATCATTTTTAGCTTCTTGATTATTTGCTTTTAAAAAGAGAAAAACAGAGAAGTCTGTCAACTTTTTTTTTCTAGTTTTAGGATATTCCAAGTTGTTTGTTTTGTGTAACTGAAATGTTGACCGAAACTGACAGGATGAATCGTTTTAACCCTGAGGTGAACACAAGCTAAAAGTAAAGGGTTATGACAGAGATATGACAAACTTTCACCACCTCATTGCTGTGTACCATATCAAAACAAATACTGATGCTTTATTAGTTGTTATAGCAACAGTGCYGAGCATCAAACTACAGGAACTGACGAACGATGATCAGGATCTCTGTSTTCATWTAAGAAATKAWGCTTATCTAACCCTAAATGTAACAAACAAACCCTGAGTGATACTCTAAACCTGCTTAACCAAAACTGAAGTGTCTCAAGGATGAGAATATTCACTGTTAGCTCACCAATCACGCCACTGTCTCATTTTGAGCATTCCTGCATGAATGCTGACTTGAAACGATGGAATGAAACTTCTTAAATGTTATCAGTCTCGACATGTGCAGGAATGGGGAAAATAAAGAAAAGGCCTGGGGAGACGCAAACTATTGRGAACGATCAGTCTCTTCCTGTCGTAACACACATCTGAACACACCTAGCTGAACAAACACCACGACTGATCCGGCATTCCTCTTTATGTGTGGAGATTCGGTGCGAATGCAGCAGCCCGAGAACAGGTTTGGAGGGGTGAGCCTGTATCGTCCTGATGGTCCTGTCAGGACGTTTCAGCGTTGTCAGAATAATGTACACACGCTGAGGCAAGTCCCCATACCCTGACTTCTGTCTCTGTGCATCATCACACCTCGAGGCAGCTGTTGAATGAAACACAAAAGAAGGCTCAAGGACAGATGAACGCACGCCGAGTGTGACGAAGCACGCCGGCTCACAACCTCCCTACTTTCTGTGGCAATAAAACCAGGTCCACTGAGGTCCCCGTCATCTGTTCCAGCTGCCTCTAGTCCTGCGGTCAGCTCGACTGGAAACTCAAGCAGTTAAAGCGTATAAATATTCCTACKTTTTCCAGCTTCTTCTCTCCTGCACGTTAACGCTTTACGAACAGACTTTGGACCCTTTGAAACACAAGCAAAGCACACACAAATTAATAAACGACACTCCATATGCCATATGGCTCGCGTGACGATATTAAACAAAGAAGCACACAAAGCTGGCACTTCTGCAAGGCTGCAAACTGTCTTTTCCCCACAAATTACAACCACATGTTGGACTATTTTTACGCAGTGACTCACGCTGAATGCCTCCGGAATAAAAGCTGTGGAACAGAAGTGTTCTGTGAGCGTAGTTAAGAGATAATTAGAGCCTACAAAACCAGTCCTCCTTGCTCTGCAGACAGGACTTAATCATCAGAGGGCTGGGATCTCAAAGCTCATTACAATGAGCTGCGAATCATGAGAAAGCATTGTTCAGATATGGCAGAACCTGCCACATTTCTTTTCTCTGTTCTGTTTAAGTCAGTTGCAAGAGTGTAAAGTTTTTTTTTTCATATTTTTTTTTTCTCTGAATGTCTTCCATTGACTGGAAAGTTGGCCCACATGGAACTTTCTGCCTATAATAACAACAATAATAACACTGCTGTTCAGGTTTATTCATGCACAGCAGCTACCTGGATGACTTAAACCTCTTTAAACTCTATAAATTTAACGTTTTTGTTGTTCTGATTATATTATAGAGGAGAATAAAAATATTAATGCTTTGCAAACAAGAACTTAATTAAGATTCAGGTCCACTAAAACAAAACAAACACAAAGAGCCTTTATAATTCCTACCAGCAGCTGCACAGTTTACTTTTTATTTCGTACCTTCTCACTTTTTTTGCAGCACAACTTGTTCCTTGTTTTGTCTTCGTTCCCCGGCGAGTTTCGCTGTCCCCGTTAAAAAAAGAAAAGAAAAACAAAACAGCGACCTACAGGTCTCCTTGTCCGTGTGTCACATTCCTTAGATCGGACAGCGGCACCACCCTGCACCCCCCACCTGGTTCGCTCGCTCGCTCGGTGGGCAACCCTGCTCTGTCCTCCCCCCCTAACGCCCGGGCTGAGAGCTCCTCTCGGCGGTGTCTGATCCTCCCGGAGCCTCCGCTGCCGTAAACCTGCGCAGTTTAGCGCTGTGAATGAGGAAGAAGCTGGGGGTGACCGCCGGGTAGGAAGGGCTTTCCCACCGGCCTGACTCCTCCCAGAGCTGCTGGGCCTCAACACCATTGGGAGCTTCCCTCTTCTGTTTTATTTCAAAAGTGCAATTATTGTAACACATCAATGCTTTTTCAATCGGTTGAAAGGCGAATGATAATGTTTTGGTGTGCCAAAATACTTAATAAATCACTGGACAAAGTTTAGCAAAAATGTTTAAGAAAGTAGGCTATATTGGTTGTACCCCATAGAGTTAAATAACACCAGAGTGAGCCCCACCTAAGCCCTCCACTGTCAGCATCTTTGATGCATAAAGGAGCAAAGATGGCATCCAAACTCGATATACCACCAATTTTCCTTTTTGATTCTGATACCGGTAAAACTCAGGCTGGTATTGGCTACTGTGCCATTACTGGGTCCTTTATGCATTTGTCTGCTAAACCTAAAAAGTATTGTATTTCAAATAAACACTTAATAAAAAACCCCACAAGAGATCAGAGTAATTTATGTTTTAATTTTAAACTCAGAAGTGTATTGATGCATCCTCATTTACAATTATCTGAGCTAATACAACAGTATAAAAAATATCTCAGGTCACAATCATGTGTGAAAATAGTGTTTTAAACAATAATAAATAAGCAAAAATAATAAAAACAATAAAACAAACTATTTTTAATGAACTAGAACTACTATAAAATAAAAATGAATCCTATTTAATGTTACATGAACATGTCAACATGAAAATACTGAACATGTAACATTACTGAATTCATACACTTACGCATCATGGAAGAAAAAGTAGTCCCCACCAACTGCGTATGGTGTAGACAGGATTTAAATAGTTTAATTATTTTTCCACTGTGTTCCTGTATATACATTGCCTGAAATGACTGAAGTATCAAAGTAGTTTGATTTTTGTATTGATTCTAAAGTACAAAGTTCTAGGATCTGTGGCATCAATATTTCAGTATCAATCCACATCACTACAGCTGACAGCACAACTATTTGATTAACAGCAAACCAAACTGGATCTGTGTCGCAAATTATTTGAAATATTCTTACGAGAGAATAATATAATTGTTAATTATTTCTATTTTATTAGACAGTCGTATAACGGTTTGATGATATAAGGAAAATATATAAAATAGATTCAAAGTCTGTCAATAACTTAATAGCTAGTTGAAGAATTATGACTTCAACTAGTAATAAAGTATATTTATTATTATTTACTTGTTCTCTGGTTGGCTCATTGTTCACTTCATACCTGGTATTTTAAAGGGTGAAACTTGTCTTTACTGATATTGGCCAACTATCTTTTCACCAGGCCAGAATTGTTTAATATAAGCCTAATAGTAGTTAAATGTATATTATTTTACACTGTGTAAATATTACATAGATCAGAGGCAAAACCAGCTTATAATATTTAATAATATGTGCTCAATTGTAGCATGTGTCAGCAGTGTGCTACACTCTGTGCTAAAGAAGCTAATATCTAGTTGGCACACGTATGTAAAAAGTAATGTGATTCATGAATTCTAATGTGATGAGACAACATTTTGTGTTTGATTCTGATCACAGTCCGAGCTCGCTTAAGCACGTTTTCTTATTAAATGTTGCTAAGTGGTCTTCAAGGGTAGTTCTCATGGCTTTTTTTGACCTTCTGAAGTTCTTTTATTTTTTGGGACGTTGTTGCCTTTTGACTGTTTTTTTTTTTTTTTTAACCAGATACTGCTTGAGTAATTGAAGCTGAGGTTCAGACTCTGGGGAAGGCCAGGGCATAACTGTTTCCTTTGTGTCGTGTTTCTATTGGGGACATAGTTGACGCTATGAGCTGAACTGCAGATAAAACCATTACAGAAGCTCCATTATAATTTCCAGACGTCTGTAGACACTATTGTACCTCACACCATCAGGAACTAATGACAACAATTTGAAGCCTAAATTTAAATTTTTGGATTTGTGATGCCACGTGACAGGTTGTCTCCAACGTTTAGCCCAATCTTTTTTTATTTTAAAAGACTTCAAAATTTTCTCCCTATCTCTCTCTTTTTCCTAAAAATGTTTTTTTTGTGCAAAATAAAATGATATGCTCATCAAACTATTATTTTGGGGCATAATTTGTAGTCTCGGTTCATTAATGTCAACTAATCATGCTTAGCGTCAGCCTGTCAGTAAAGGGCCTGAAGATAGAATTTTAAATAGATGCTTTATAATTCGTGTGTTGTCTTGACATGAATTCTGTTAATTTCTCAAAAAAATTTGTGCATTTATTTTTAAATAATTCAGATATTGAGTGGCCTAACAAACAAACAAATGCTAAAGTTCATTACCAAATGACAATAACATTTTTGAGAATAACAAATAAATTGCTGTCTTTTTGATCCTTGATATTCAATGGAAGCCTTTATTCAAATTACTCAAACCTGCCTCTGTTTTCGCTGAGTTTCAGTTTAAAACATTGTCTTGTTTTTTCCATGGTGAAAAACATTGCTTGACTCATAACACTCAAAGAGAAAAAAATTGTATAGGTCTTCTGGACGGGTTCTTCTCTAATGAAACGTTTCGTCTCTCCTCCAAGAGACTTCTTCAGTCTGAGAGTTTCAGGAAAAATTCAGGCTTTTAAGCCCTGCCTCCATGTGACTGATACTCACATCACATCACACCCGCAACATAAGGAATAACCACTGGTTATCAAACCAGTGGTTATTCCTTATGTTGCGGGTGTTTCAGAGAAACTGAGACGTTTATTTTCTAAACATGATGTCCCAGTGGCTTTCAAACCCCAAAACAAATTAAGGCAAAGGCTGGTTCACCCCAAAGATCCGGTGCCCCGGCACAAACAGAGCAATGTTGTATATGCTGTTAAGTGCCAGGAGGACTGCRACCAGTTATACATCGGGGAAACAAAGCAGCCACTGTTCAAAAGAATGTCCCAACACAGACAAGCTRCATCTAATGGCCAGAACTCTGCAGTTTTCACTCATTTACAGGCCAGCGGTCACTCTTTCAGAGATGAGGATGTTCTCATTCTTGATAGAGAGGAACGTTGGTTTGAGAGAGGAGTAAAAGAAGCCATTTTTGTGAAGAAAGACCGTCCATCATTAAACAGAGGTGGAGGCCTCCGTTTTCAGTTGTCCCCCTCCTACAGCGCTGCTATTGCCAGTATCACTCCACCCCTGTTAACAATAGGTGTTAATTAGGTGTCAACGATAGCCATGTGATGTGAGTATCAGTCACATGGAGGCAGGGCTTAAAAGCCTGAATTTTGCCTGAAACTCTCAGACTGAAGAAGTCTCTTGGAGGAGAGACGAAACGTTGCATTAGAGAAGAACCCGTCCAGAGGACCTATACAATTTTTTTCTTTTTGATTTTTACCTAGATTACTGAGATGCATCAGGACAACACTCAAAGAATTTCCTCTTTTCCATATGATTTGTTCTTCTATTCATTATATTGTTATTCTTATTCCACTTATACAGGCTCTCTTCAAATTTATTGGCGAACAGCAGCACATGTACAGTATGTTTGTACTGAAAACCATCATTTATAGCTGATGCTTCTTTTATCACRCGATTGTTTCCACTGCCTGTGTTATTCCAAACAGAGCTTTTTCAGTTTCAATCTGTTAAACGCTCACCTGTGCTCAAATAGAAGTCTCGACATCAGCAAAGTGTAATAGAGCAGAAGGTACGAGCTACTTATATGGGCTGTCCTTTGCCCTGAAACATGTTCATAATGCAGAACACACCTTGTTTGATAGGCCTCTGATAGCAGATGTTATGAGTGTGTGTTCAGAGTGTGTGTGCGCTCTGCTCCTGAGGGTGTGTCTCCTGCTCTGACTGTCTGCACATTCAACTAATCTATTATCCAAACACACTCACAAAACTGCAAAGGCTGAATATTTCTGTTTACTCTTCTTCAGTTCTGTCCAATGTGCTTCTCTCAGTGATTCAAAGATAAAATGAGAGGAATCGGAGGCGTTTGCAGCTCTTACAGCTGTGTTGAGGCTGTGCTTCAGATTCTGAAAGAAATGTCAAGAGATAGTCTCCGCGCACGAATAAGTTCTGATAACAAGCAGGTAGAGAGACGCAGAAATGCAGGGTGCGGCCCGCTCCAAAGAATGCGCTTAAGGCATCCCGCCACACCCAATCTGCTTCTCCTTCATCCCCAACCCCCATCACTTTTCACACTCTTCCTCCCTCAGTCTCCTCCCTCTGAGTCACCTGGCAGCCTTTCAGCAGGTATGCAAACCCGAGCACGAACAGAACCCTGGCATGCACCCGACACGCACCTGGCTGAGAAGATCCTGCCATGAATTCAGAAAAACTTTATTGATAATGTTGTGGCTGGAGTTTAGTGCAGACAGATGTAAAGTTTTATTAAACAAGACCCCAGTGAGCTGAAGAGGAGACGCTGAGGATGGCTGYAGGTGCAGACTGGAGAATCAAAAGGAGGAAGATTAAAACATTTCTTACCTCAGTCATTGAAGTTCGGGTCGTTGGCATGGTTGACGGCTTTGGCTTTGGCTAACGACAAGAAATAAGCTCCTTATATTTGCACCACTCCCCTACTCTCTTTCCGTGAATTAAACTGTTGTGTCTTGTAGTGAGTATTAGCTGAATGAACAAAAAGAATTACATGACTTGCCAACACGACAGTGTAAAAACTCACAACTAGACGTTAAGGACAAGTTGTAACAGAAAAACTGACAATATATCACACATCTTAACTGACTCTTCTGTGAAGTGGTGGGAAGAAGATTAAAAAGATAAAACTGTGTGTCTAAGCTTATTTAAATAGCCTTTGGCCTTTATTTTAAAGCAGTCCTCCTCTCAAATTCTAAAATGTTTAGGGATGCACCAATATGAAAATTTCAGCCGATATTGATATCCGATATAATTATATTATTATAARTTATATTATACATATATACACAAACACACTTGGGTCTTT